AATGTATTGAATATTATACAATAGAAGGCCTTATTTTTACATTGATACATCCCATTCATATCGTATGCTAACTTCATCAACCGTTCTAATCCTGGTTATTATCCAGTTGTTTGATACACCGCCTGTGTCATCAGAGATTATTGAAATATACATACATAATGCTGATCATTAATACACCAAAACGTGAAACATACCTCGTAGGTACATAGCGGTTTGAAATTAAAATAACCGTTGACGAATTATTAGGTGTTTTTGTGAATAAGTCCACGTGTCGAAAATACGTATTTCATTGAAATTAATAAAGTAGAAAGTAGCATATACGATAAAAGTTATATGAATAAAGATTATTATGCTTTTTGTTCACAATTTTGTGGAGTTCAATTTTTAAACGCACTAGCAGTCGAAATAAAATCGAATGTTAACATTATGTTAATCAAATAAAGATAATTTTATTTCTCTTATTAAATGTTAATTAAAAGTAATAAAACAATTTCAATGTTGAATTATTCATTTTGATTTATAAGATTACGATTCTTATATTTTTGTATGTTTGCTATTTCTCATATACTACCTACATTCTGCTTCAAGTGATATTTAGAATTGACCCCTATCAGTTGTTTCAAAACGGAATGAGATGAATATTTGTATGTTCCAAACTAAATTATAACTTATAATGCCATCTGAATAATTTATTATGTTCTCCGAGTGTGACAGACGAGCTGAATATTAACTAGGAACAAAACCCGGTGTAGTAATTAGGTGAACTAGAAATTTTACATACATACATATAATTAATTTGATTAGTTTATTTTATTAGCAAATATTTTTTTGTGACTCTATTGTTTATAATGATTTGACGACAAATATTTTATTTTATATTTATTTTAAATTAAATGTTTTAATGATTTTAATGCTAAGACAAAGATGTTGTGTTTTTTGACCCCCTTACGAATTTTTCAATTAAGTAGTTGATTTCATAATTATCAGTTTTATTAATTTTTTCATAATACTAATACATTTATTGCCAATATTTAATTTCATTATAATTAGTATTGTTTATTTTCATCTTTAATAAAAACTCAATATACTATTAACTATAATTTATTTTTTCTTTTCTTTCTTATATTTTTATAAGTTGTTTAAAAACTTTAGAAGAATCAATTTTAAAGTATAATAATCTGTATCTTGCTAGTGTTAGTCACCTACTGCGGTAATGGAGCGGTGACACGGTTTGTAAGCGACTAACTTTTCAGTGATTTTACACACACGAGATATTAGAGGATAATCAATCTTAGGATAATATGTATTATACCGAAAATTGTATATATGTATTATACCGAAAATGTAAATGCACATTTAAATGTTTTAAAACTTTCTTATCCATTATTAAACAGAGATACATATGTATAGATTATTTTTTTAAATAAAAACTTTATGACACATAAATTTCATGTACATACATTACTGTTTTACCATTCAAGATTGCAATACAAAATATTTTTGTTACAAAAATAAACCGCGTGGTATAAAAATATTTGTTTCATTTAAATGAATAAAACTCGCGAAAGTCTTAGATCTTATTATACATAATAATTTAAAATAAATTATTTTTAAATAAATAGAAAATAAATATTTTAAAAATAGTTTCCCTAGTAAAGTTGTTTATTTAATATTGTTTATGTATTTATTTGATTTGAACATAATTTCCAAGAGTTCATTTTCATTTACATCTAAAAGGCTTTCTTATCATACCAACAAATGAAAACAATCGTTTATCAGCTGCGAAAAATTGTGGGCAGATAAATATATAAAATAAATTTGGTCATGAATGAAAAATAAGATAAAAGTAATGAAATTAAAAAGAAATAATTTTTTATTCAACAAGTTCAAAATGTTACTTGGAAGTGTTTCAATAAAAAAAAGTATAAAATATATGCACATACATATGTGTTTAAAATAATGCACATCTGTGAACAGTCATTATTTTTATTTGTATTTTTTTGTCTGAGAATAACGTTTTTCATTTGTTTTTTTATTGGCGGACCCATCCCAGAATATCTATCTATATCTATCTATATCTTGTTAGTTAAGAACAAGCTAGCCAGAACAATTGAATCATAACTGAATTAGATTGGCATATTATGTTTACCTCGACCAACCTGCGTCTCACTTACACGAGATGTTTAGCATCTATGGGAGGACTACATAATATTAACTTTGTTTTACTTATTTACGGAGGAGAAAAGAATGGGATGGAATCATTCTTAAGACTTTTGTAATCAAAATGAAATTCGTTTTTTTGAAAGTGTGAATCATTGTAATTTAATTCCTTGTTATAATAAAAACACACACAAGGCACACACAGACACACGCAAATATATTAAAACACGTATAAAAAATATTATAGATGTAACAGTTATTCTTATAATTAATTATTTCAAAGCACTTATAACATAACTGTGTTAATTCGTCCTAAGAGTTTGTTATGTTGATTACAGTATAGTATGTTTAGTACGAGTTAACTCGTCAACTTAAACATGGAATAGTAAAGTTTGCCAATCAAACATTCTGGTCAACGAAACAATGTTATTTTCGTGAAATTAAATTATTACATTAAACTTAAAGTCCACAAAATTTATATTAATAACGACATGAGATTGTTATCTTAATAAAAGTATTAAATTTGACTTTGGATTATTTGGGAAAAAGTGTAATGATAAGTACGTATTTAAATAAAATTGTGGTTTTTAGTTTTACTAAAAGATTTATTGTTTTATTTAAACCGACGTTTCAATAACTTTACTGCAACTGAAGTCATGATCAGACAAGATGAAAGTTTTTCATCGAATCTTCGGCTTCGAAAAACCACTGTTTTATTTAAAAAAGAGCACTCCAATTGGGACTTCTCTTAGGGAATAAGTAATTTGTTAGTTTAATAACAAAACTCAATTACATAACATCATTCAGTTATCGCTTATATCATACACGTTCAGTTGTTTCATCCACTTTTACAACTGCATGTGGCTTTTTATCTGTGTTTATGATAAGTAAAAAAAGATATTATATATTATGTTTTTTTAATAACCTTGCTACAACATTATATTCACACAAAACGTATATTGACATGAGCATATGGAACAGTCGCATTTAGCAATCTTATTGGTTTATTTTAACAGTGGTGTAAATAATAAACAGTGCCAAGGTACTCATAGATTTTATGAAATTGATAACAATATTTATATTATGTAATAAACATCTTTGAAAAGAGATAAAATGTTGAATTTAATATAAGTTTTTTATTTTATTTCAAAATTACGTACTATTAATTGTAAATGTTATAAAATATAAGCTATATTTTAATTAAACATAGTCTCAGAATTATTATAGAAAAACAAAATCATTGTAAAAATTTTGAGCATCATAAGATTATTTGTATCTTATTAAAATATTACTTCAAAAATTCTGGTGTAGCTTATTTTACAGTCAGAATGTTTCATATAATTGAGACTGTAATATATTGTTAAGACAAATTGAAATTATAGTTTTAGTCAAGTATTTGTATAACATCTGTTTATCTAGGGGTAATTCACGTGGCATTACCTAACCTGCAGATAATTCTATTGCAGTTGTCAATAACATCAATGGGACGTTTCAATAGGTTTCTGTGTTAGACAGTGCATTATCTCTCAAACACTTAACATGCATTTATTAATTCAAATTTATTTATTAAGTATTATATAACTTCTATATATTATACATTGATTATATTTTTCGATTTATAATTCGGTTTCTAATAAATTTGTGATTTAAAATAAGATAGTCATTTTAAATATCGTGTTAAGCCTAACATACATATGACTATCAAAGATTATTTGTCTGTGTTTCGTACGTCATTTAAAGATAAAACGTATATTATATACGCCAGTAATAATATATTTTTTAACATACAGAGTACTTGCATGTGTAAAATTCAATGTTTATCCTGTAAGGAAGCAGGATAATAACTGACATAGAGATGCGTATCGAATACATAATCACAAGGATCTTAAAAATTAATTATTGTTAATATAACATTTACAATGTTTATAAACATTTAACAATTAGAAATTTTAAGGGGTGTACACGACAAAAAGTAAATTATGTTTCTTTTTGTTTTTCGATGATCACTATAACAACTAGAAACTAATAGAAAAATATATGCTATTTCACTTATACTGCAATATTAATTAACACAAACATGTTATAATATTAACATATGTAAGAATACGATAAAAATATATTTCCTTATAAAGAAATAGTCACTACGCTATATTTCTTATAATTAAATCTTAATTTTATATTTTTGAAAACCTGATATGTTGTGACACAACAATAATTTAATATAAATGAATACAGAAGTAAACATATTTTGTTAATCTAAAAACGATAAGATTGCCTAATCCAAGATTACATAAACCCCCTGGAAAAATACCTATTTTTATTACTGTGATGTCGCCTTTAAATTAATTTTTCTATTGTATTTATTTGTATTAAATCAATATTAAAAAATTCCATATAAAAACATTATATAAAGTGTATATTAATATGTATTAGCAGTCATCCAAACATTATTTCAATTACAGGGTCTTAAACGGTTCCATTAAACCAATGATCATGTTAGAAAAATACAAAAAAAAATAACTTGTTGTTTTTTATTATATAAAATGCTATAAAAATACTTAGGAAACACGTATTAAAGAAAATACCTTAATAGATATACAATAATAACTATTATTATGATAATTTTTATTATACATACATGAATATACAATAATCCATATTCGACACATAATAATAAATGTTTTATTGTTTTTTTAAATATTTACCTACTCACAGCCAGATCATGACATAATAAAATATTTATAACATGCTATCGGTTTTTAATGGCACATGTATAAAATATATGTCAAACTTTAATTTGTCTTGATATGTTTTACTCTTGACCTTTGAAATAGGTACATTTATGTGTATGATTTTTCCTTTTTCAACCACAACAGCTTATAAATTATGGGTGCTAATGCTCCACCAATCAGCGGACCGACCCAGTAGATCCAATGCATGGACCAATTTCCTGTCCAAAGCGCCGGTGCCAATGACCTCGCTGGATTCATACTAGCTCCCGTTAAAGGTCCTCCAGCTAATGAAAATGCAGCTATCGTAAAACCGAACTTCAAAGGAATTGCGTCGACTTTTTCCTTATTAACCGGATCCCAGACCGAACAATTGATAAATCCTAAAGCTAAAGACAATATTATTTCAATTATAATTGCTTGGTACACAGCTTGGTTAGGGTGCGGTGTTGTCATACAGATACATTCTTGAATCAAATTCACATGAGAAACTACGACTAATAATCCATAACCGACGATAGCTCCGAAGCATTGAGCGATGATATATGCTATTCCCAAAGGTAGAGACATACTGCCCCATAACAAAGCAGACAATGTAACCGACGGGTTCATGTGTGCCCCTGATATATGTCCAAAGGTCGCGATGTTAAATAAAACAACCATACCGAAACCAATCGCGGAGTACATCGGCGGGTGAATATCAAAACCGTCTAACGGTATAGTTGTCATACATCCAAGAAAGAGCAATAACATCGTTGACGTAAACTCCGAAACTATAAATTTGAAATGCACTAAACACCAATTTATCATTTTTTTCAAAGGTGATGGCTGGATCTTGGTGTCAAACCCTCCGATGACATTAGTCATTTGGTTAGCAGCTGGAATCGTCATTTTGGATGTATTTCTTACACTACTTATTTTATCTCAGTATCCACTAACACAAATACCGTCTCATTATTTATACTATTTTTTTTATTTCACGTCACACACAACCGCTCTTCAAGAAGGTACGGGCGGCAATAAGTATGTCTAATGTATTTGCAACAACATCAGTCATTGACTTATAACACAGATAGGCCATGTTTTGTGGGTAGGGTAGAGCTACTGCTTTGTTTTCCTTCCTTATGTTCTTTAGAATGATTGTTTATTAATCGACAAAGGTTTATTTAATTAATAAATTTCACAATACCTGTGAGTAAATATTAACATTTATGAAGAAATAAAACTCAAATATTGTTAAGGAAAACTGTAACGGATCATATATGCAGTATTAATATTGCGAATTTGTAACAGTAAAAACGAAATATAGTTATTTATAATACATGAAATATGGTTAATACAGAAGAAGACGTGGAGTTTTCATAACAATTAAGTTTATTATCATAGAATAATAAACTTTTTAATAGTAGTACACTTATATATAATGTACTAAAACATAAAAGTTTTATTTCAAATATGACAAGCCTCTCGCTGAATGGGTTAAAGCCAATATTGCAAATAAAATTAAAAATGAAATAACGGTCGCCAAAACTAAAATTCAGGTTTTCTTAGATCAGCTTGATACAAATTTAGAATTCCCAAAGATAAATTTACATTGTTTAGGTTCATGTTATTTTCTCACTAAAATTATTATTGTTTCTTCTATATAAATGCTTAATAAACCGGTACAGGGCAAAAAACTTACCGCGACGTTCGCCACAGTTTAAATTTGGCCCTGAGCTCTGCCAAAAATGTTTGCCATTATCTCATTTTCTCGGTAAGGCAACACGACATCAATTTGATTTGTTTTTGTCTCCAATTGAAACCATTGGGACGTTGTGTGCGAAGACCTTTTATCAAAGATTGTATTTTTTTGTCTAAAAGAGTTATAATTCATAATTTTATATAAAGAAAAAATATTTGAAAGTAAAACTATGTTTACGAATATTTCAGTGACAATCAGTTAGTTGATCTTTTTTATTTAATTCTTTTTCTTATCATATATATGCTCGTATGACACATGTAAACATGCATCATGTGGTGTGTTTAATTATTCATATTAGTGTCAATATTCAAGTTATCAAAAATGTTTAATCTTTATGACGATTTTTTTTTTCATCCCATTTCAGGCAAACAGAAATTAATATTAAGTTACATAATGTATAAGAAACATGAACCTACAATTAATTTTATCTCTTTTTATGATATATATAATTTTTATATTGTTATATTTATGCACTATCTTCTTATTCTGTTTGACATCTCTAATTCAAACGCAAAGACAACCAGACATTGTATATCTATATGTAAATATATACTTAGGTTGAATTAATTCTTGAATATAGCAAATACAACAAATACTCTAGAAATGAGTGACATATAATATTAAATATTTTATTTAATTTGTTCATATTTTCGAAATCCGTATTTCATATGCTTTAATGAATCATTGGCAAACACAAGATATAAATGTCAACTTTATACTGAGTAGAAAATAGATAATGTTTAAAAAAATGTATGCTTATCACGATTTAATGTTTACGATTACTGTTTTAATGGAAAGTTTCTACAAATTTGTATAATTTTTTCAAAAAGTAAAAAGAGTATTTATATTTGTAAAGATGTTCATATTTTTGATTTTCTAGTCTATTTCTGAAGTGACTTAACTTAGCGTGTAACTTTACAAATTACCCTTACTTTTTCACAGTTCTTAAACGACGTCTTGAGTAACTTTTGGTAAACAAACGTAAATCAACTGTAACAGTTGTAAATTTGTGCCAGACGAAAAATAACCTCAATACATTGATTATATGTAGTTACATTTAAGCCATATATTGCCATCGATCCGGCATAGACACGAAGAATCTATAGAATGCTGAGAAATTTTGTCTCATAATTATATTTGCCTTTTATACATATATCAATAGTATTTCTTTATTCATCAATTTGACATTTGTATAACGAATATGGTCGTCCTGAAAATTTACATAAATATAAAGCTTAGGGAAAATTACAAAAGACATCTGTCAAAATCCCACACGAAATAAAAAAAACATTTCAGGCAACCCATGTCGGCGGAAAGACCTTGTCTTACATACAAATTAATTTAAGTAACGCTAACTTAATATGGTCATGAAAAAAGGGATACAAATTGATTCAGAATAATTGTATTATCTCTTGCCATAGTTTTTTTTATTTTATTTTTATCACCTTTTGTATCGTCATTTCTTTATTGTTTTATTATTGTCATTGCCTTCATTAATCTGTTTCGTGTAACTATTGAATGCTATCTGAATAAAGAAGACGGTATTGAATTACACAAAAGAATTTATTGAAAAATTAATAAGCAGTATTGTTTGTTTATTTCACATCTAGATACAAAATTATCTTTAAATATAATAAAATATTTGATAATTAATTAGATAGCATTCGTTTCTCTTTATTAGGATATTCCTTTTTTATCGAACCAACATCAATATTTAAGATATGGTTTCTTGATTATATGATTAAATAAATTCTTTAGTGTTAGCTCTTTTTAAAGATAAATATTTCAATTTCTGTTTTAAAAGTAGGAAGTATTTGAAACGAAATCAAACAGTAACTAACGGTATTTTAAAATTATGGTTTAATATAAGGAAAGATGTATTTTATAAAGAAAATAAAGTAAATTAATATAAGTTATTCCGCGTAATATACTTACAAAGTTCCTTTTTCCACATTAAATATATTTTTTCATTGGAGACCTAACTTTTATTTACATAAAATTCTTGATGGTTAGTGCTCTAACGAAATGTGTCAATGGTAATACCATTTTTGTTTTGGAGCAATAATAAACAATAATAAATTGTAATGACAATTTTGATTTAAAATAAATCCTTAAATGACACCATAAGGCCTTCTAAAAATAATAGGATGTAAGATTTGGTCAACTAATTAAAAACAATTTTCACATAAATGTTATTAGCAAACTATTATAACCTGAACAAAGCAAGATTGAATAATTTTACGATAAGGCAATTGTAGTTTGAAAACTGAATCGAAAATATAATACGATAAAATGATTTTCAAATCCACATTGCTTAAATCAACACGTATCAGATTTATGTTGCAACAATTGTATTGTGATTAAATTATTGTAAGTATATCATAAAACATGTAAAATGCACCACATCGTTGTTACCCTGAACATATGCTTATAATTTTTAAATTCTGCCCTAGGGATGGGACTTCCACAGCAGTTTAAAGTTCAATCACTCTGTAATGCGATTATAAAAGAAACATGAACGAGCCTCGTGTCGCTTGTTCGTATTAATTCATGAAACTTGTAGCCCTCATGTTATGGAAGCTTGTCAGGCAACAGCCTGTTGGATAATATTGTTGTTCATAAAACTATATTTGGTATACTTTTGCTTACAAATCTGGTCTTTCCTTTTTAAATAGTCGCATGTTGATATTATTTTTTTAGAAAAGGAAAAAAGCTTTGAATAAAAAAAAATAGATAATACATTTTTATGAAATGAATGCAATTATGAGATGAAGACGATTGTTTTTTTATTATTTATTTTTTTATTATGGTAATATCATGCTAAGGCCAGTTATTAAAATATAAAATTTAAACACGTAAATTATATCATAAATGGTTCTGTAATAGAAGTTTTGTAATTAATTCAATTATTATTGACTTTTTTGCTTGTTGCAGTATTGTTTTTATTAATATATCTTCAGTTTCATTATTTATATGTTTTTAATTGAATCTTAAATTGTATGCCAAGAAACAAGTAATGACATATATTAAATTAATTTCAAATTCCATCATTTGGGTGACATTTCATGAATCATGACATGTAAACTATCTCAAAATCGTAAGATTAAACCCAACTATATCTACAGAGACATTTAATATTTAAAACATATATGTATATTAAATGTTTATATTATATGTAACAACATTGGGATATACGTAAAACATTTACGTATTTAATTCAAAATTTACAAGAATTTCTTCATTACAAAAACAACTACAATAAAAAAAAACTTGTTTTTAAATTTAGGTATTGTTTTTAAATTCAAATAAATATTAGGTAATGATTTCAATTAAAATGTACTGCAGTAAATAAAGTAATAAATCAATAAATAACACAAAAATTATCAATTTGTCTCATCATATCAATTATTTAATAAATTATGACGCATTCCAGATTCAGTAAGATTAGTAGATATTTTATAGATGGTGTGAATCATTACAAAATATGCTTACGTTTGAACATTTAAAAACAGAATATAACGGAATATTTTTCAGTTTTGGTTAATAAGTACACAGTTAAATATTATTTTGATTTATTTTTGACGCAAGCTAAACAATTCGGTTCTAAATCACATCTGCATATTTTAAATGATACAGATCCATCGAAAGCCTTCTTCAAGTTCCACAAAACTTTCACATTACCTTCTATGTAAGCTTGGTCGGAATCGTTTTTCAACTCAAATGCCTCACAGTAAACGGAATCACCTAATAATATCCCTTTTATCTCAAAATCTTGATCACCAACACGAATCTTACACTGCCAAGGCGTGAACGCCATGTATAGATAGATTTGTGTTAATTTCACCACAAATATATGTACATCGCTATGTTTGAATATGCGTTCAGGCGATTCAACTATCCGTGGGCAGAATTCTGCTCCAGTTAACAGAGCCTGTATATTCTTCGGATATATAACATTGTCATTGCCGCACTGCTGTTGAGTGCAAAGACTCTTTGTAATGCACCAAGTACATGCTCCTTTGGAAATACATGATGTGCACGAAGTGAACGCTGTGCATTGATCTTCATTTGTTTGCACAAGAATGTCACCCGCTGAACTGATTTTAAGTAGACTGTAGAAGATGATTGCAGCTACACCTAGATTAGACATACTATCTGAAATTAAATATGAAATAATATAGGCAGGTATGTATATTTTGAAAATGTTTTCATTAGAGTTAAAATGTTGATATAATAAGGTTTTCATATAGATACGCTTACCTTTTTATTTGCAGTATATTTTAATTTTATTCATTGGAATTAAGTTAGCAATATCGATGTTAGTATGCCGTGATAATTACATAGAGATTGGAAAACAAACTGATGTTTCTTTATATAGAACTGTGTTATCAATATTGCCCATTTTATAGCTATGCAGCGGAAAAACAGTACAAAAGGTTATAACAAGATGATCTTTTAATATCTGCTACATTTATTTCCGCTGGTAAGATAAATTAACTTTCAAGCCACGGAATGCCCTCATAACTAAAAGCTGGTCCTCAGTTAAGAATAATAACTATTGTTTGAAATCTAAATATATTTTTATTTATTCGTTACTTCTTCATATTCAAATCAAAACAGAATTTTCGGTTTCAATTCACAGAAAGACGAGGTAATACATCAATCTTTGGGCGGAAGACGACAAATAACATCATTACACATAACTCTCTCTCCTGTGAAAATGTTTATTTAAAAATAAATTTTTCATTAAATATTAACTTAGTTTTAATAAGTCATTTGACAATTATTAAAAAACATTTAAATCATGCAAAAATTAAAAATAAAAACATCTATTGGACACATAAATTTTTTTTTAGAGAGAAAAGTCGTGGCAAAAAGTAACTATTAAAGTAATAGAACCACTAAAAAATTTATCTAATTCATATATAAAACTGTGGTTTTTGTTGTGTATGTATGTCATTAAGTTAAAATAAATATCTTCGGACATATATAATATCACTGATAGTATTGACTGTTATATAATAGTTATATGTGAATAAAACTGCATATATAATGCGTAACATTTCTATACAATGTACATTGACGTATGCTTTCTTATCGTGTGGGATGACCTCTCATAATTCTACACTATATAACACACTTAACAACACATGTACATACAAAGATTATTGGCATCGGTAGTTTCCCAAGTAATTTGTAGTATAATAAGCTAATTAAATGTGGTAGAAATTTTGTTAATATGGAAGCAGATTTTAATCATAGTTGCTTATCACATAAGATTATCAGTTGAAGAGTTGATGTGTGATGTAATTAATATGAAATTTTATCTTGAATTAAATTATACGCAGTTTACTAATTAATGTATAAACTTTTGCTACATCAGACAGGTTATTTTTAATAATAAATTTTTAATTTAATTTTTAATTAAGATTAAGTTTCACTTTAATTTTGTTAGTTTTATTTTGATTTGAAATATCAAAATACATATAGAGACTTCCGCATTTTTGTAGGTGTTTCTACATCTTTAATAGACAAAAATTTAGTCTGGATGCATTTCTTTTTTTTTTCTATATATGTATTATATATTATTATCTTCTATATATATAAAAATGGATTGCTGTTCCTTAGTCTCGCTAAAACTCGAGAACAGCTGAACGGATTTGTCTTATCTTAGTCTTGAAATGTTTGTGGAGGTTCAGGGAAGGTATAAAAGGTGAGAAAAATTGGATTAATTGCCGGGAAAACCCTAAAACCAGCCCTTTTCTATTTCCCATACAAACGCTTTTTTTGACATTAGATTTGACAACTAACTAATATGTCAATCATTATGTTTGATTGCAACAGGAAAAACCTGATTCTTTATGGCCTCTTAAGACGGAATAGAGTTCGCCTGGTCAGCTATACATATATTACATATGACGAAACTAACGCGGACGAAGTCGCGGGCAAAAACTAGTATAGTATAAAAATAGATATTTTAAGGTACTGTTTATCGGTTTTAGGTACTATAAATCGTCAATACTATATAAAATAAAAAATGTCACAAACGAGAACCGCTTTACTTAGTCTGACTGATAAAGTTGGAGTAAATCTGTTGAGAAAGTAATTGAGCGGTTTCCTGTGTTTAAGTATCTGTAGGAGTGTGGGCCACAGAGAGGAAATTCAGTTAGTTCAGTTTATAATTAAGGTTCACGTTACATATTCAATTAAAACAAATTTAACGATCGATACACATTTCCTGCCCTAAAGGGTTTTCATTTACCAGGCATGTTCATCAGGCAATATTGTATTACGCTATTTATAGTTTATTGCCATACCAATGTGATTATTTGAAATATAGTTTCATTAAATAATATTTGGATTAAAACAAAGTAGTATGACTGGAATGATATTAAAGTATATGTACATATGTACTGTTAAATCAAAAAGACAAGATAGAAAATTTTCTTTTTTATGAGATAAATTTCACTATATCACGTTTCTTTACAAAAAACTTTCAAAAATGTATTTATAAGGGATTCCTTAAAATGGTTAAATATATGTTAAAATGATTATGATGATGATCATTAATCAATGGTTAAATATATGTTAAAATGGTGATGAGGATAACTATCCCAAATTGGATACACTACTGTTAAATCCAAAACCCAGAAATACTATTTCTGGCAATATATTGAAGTTGTTTTAAAATAAAATTCTTACAAATATATTTTTTTAATTTTCACAAGTAACTGTAAGAATGTGTACACGCCAACATGGTGTAACATGTTGTTGGCATTTGCCCATTTTTCCTCTAATGAAGATCCTGCAGGCGACTTCACGGAGATAAAAATATATCTAGCAAGAGGATAATGTTATATGTCTAAATAAATAAAATTCACGTAGAGTTTTATAGTAATTAGTATTAACGTAGTAGTAGGATAGTAATTTAAATCTAATGCTATAAAAAGTTGAGAATATATGAAAACTAGAAGACCCGGCGAACTTCGTTTCGCCCTATAATCAAGAAATATCTGTTACGTTTTTTTATTTATATTTTTGGAGTTTACCTATTAAAGCCATAAATCTCCGTGTTTTGAAGTGATTAGGAATGATTAATAGTTAATATGAGAGTTACACTGAGCTAGCAAAATAATAATTGTCAACGTTACTACTACACTTGATGCACAAACAATAACGATGGCCGACAACTGTGTAGGGAGTGAGAGAAGTCTAATTGTGTGAGAGAAACAGAACACCGGCTTCGTTCTCATCCCTACTCCGTGCTGTTTACTGGGTCAGAAGTGACACCTGTAGATATCTGGCGGGGATAACTTATTAAATGACGATTGACCAGTTATCGACCGGAGATGAAAAATGATTAAATTACTAAAATAGCTATTAAAAAATAAGGGTTGATCGTAGAAGGGTGAAAATTTAGGATTGTATGTATTTTTGTACGTTGTATCATAAAAAAATAGTAATTAAAAATTTTGTCTAAAAAATAAAAAAAAAAATTTAGGGGTGGACTACCCCTAACATTTAGGGGGATGAAAAATAGATGTTGGCCGATTCTCATAGCTACCGAATAAGCACAAAAAATTTCATCAAAATCGGTCAGGTTGTTTCGGAGGAGTATGGGCACGAAAACTGTGACACGAGAATTTTATATATTAGATAAAAATAATGAATGCATTCCTCAAACAAAAAGTTACTGTTACATTAAAAAAACTTAAACAGAATACTATAATAATGTTGGAATAAGCAAGGAAATTAGACTTCCTTACAATCTTTTTACGTTTTTGTAGCTAAAAGTATTGCATCAGCTCTGATAAAATAAAACTTGTAAAGAATTTTATTAAAAATTTAATGTTCTACTGGGTGTATTAGCAAAGTAATATTAGCTGATCAGTACAATATTGCTCAAAACAATTAAGGTTTTGTATTTTTTGGATGTAAGCCTAATTAAGTTTTTACTGAATTGTCTTTGTCGTTGAGTTGTATAAAAATGTTTTAACGAATAATAGCAACCTTTATGACCATTTTTACTTAATTTATAAGTGAAAAGAGTGGTTTTGTATATTAATTAGTTGTAATAATTTAAAGTTTGGATTAAAATAATTTACTTTAATATTTACTCCAAGAGTTTCAATTTGTAAGTTCAAGTTAATGTCGTGTGTATACCAAACCTTTTATATTTTAGTGTGGTTAACTGATATAAATATACGTGTGGGATGTACTTACATTATTTCTTGAAGAAAACAATTCACATCAATAAATCTGTTTAGATTAAAAAATAGAGACACTAAGGTTTAAGTCCAATAACCCCAACCGTTACAATCTGCTCTAAATTTTTCGATTTAATTTACTACTTGTAATTGGTTCTAACCTATGTGTATGAAAAAGGAAATTTTATCCTTTTAGGAGAAGACTTAACAGATACAATCTTTATGCAAGTAAATAAATAATTTAATTAGTAATTTGGTTAATAAAAATTAAGTATTTACTAGCCTAAACTATTTATGTTTGTGGTTTTACATCAATGAATTAATATTGTCAGATACCCTGAATTATTTGCCATTTCTTATCCATATTAGCTTGTTGTAACAAAAACACTTTATTGGCTGTAATGATTAAAAAAAAAACGAAAATTTCTACTGTACTGAGAAAAGCATAAATACACATACATGTGTGAATTTTATTTTTTTAAATGAGAGATATTTGAGCTAGCGAAAACGGGCAAAAATTTTTAGTTCCCATTCCTTGAAATCATACTGCCCACTATCGACGATATTTTAACAGTAAACAAAGTTCATTCGATTCAATTTAGCTATCGGAATTATAAAATAAAGATACAGCTCTGTTGATTTTTATTTTATTATCAAAAATATTGGTATATTTCTCTAGTTGTACAAATATTTACTATATTTGGATTGGTAATAAGAATTTTGTAAAGTAATTGTTGTGAAATATGACCCACAATCAATTGTTTACTTTAGACCTCGGATCGTTGGTTAAAGTTCTAAAAATATTACTTAATGAGAACATTGAAAGCAGGAGAGACTTCATAAATACAAATTTTGTTAGTTTATAAAGTATAAGATTAATAAAATAACATGAATCTGCCTTATGCTTTTGTATATATATAGACCTTCTGTGACAAATTTCTAT